TTGGTTTTTAAATATCTGCTGAAATTTAATTTTTAAATGAAACAATCTGTGCAACTAAGTAATGGTAAAGGAAAAGGAATTTCAGAAGCTAAAGTTTGAGTTATTTCAAGATTTTTAAAATCCCAGAATATAAGAAAAAAATGATATACAACTTGGAAAAATTCATATTATTTATATAATGCTATATGTTCAAAAGTAGACTCATATCTAAATAACAGCCCTACAAATTGGGTGATGCTGTTCCCACTTTTCTGATGATGAACAAATTGATTTTTCTAAGTTGACACAGTAAATAGTAATGTGGGGATTTGAACTTAGGCAAGCTACCATCCAAATGCTACTCTTTGCTGCTAGCTTCCAGAGTCCTCCTATAGTGTGATTAATAGTGTCATGAATTCTAAAATGGTACTAACTTTTTTCTTGTAGACACTGAGCAGTTGTTCCGTTGAAGGCCTCAAGTAAATGAAGACTTAAAGCAAAATCCTTGTTCTGCCGCTGTGGGGGCAGGGAAGGTAAGCGGGAAGGCAGAGAACAGCTGGGATGACGCACTGCACCCTGTCCATCTGAGTCTCAGACAGCACTTTTGCTTTTTTAATGCTATCATGTCAGATCCCGTACCTAAAACACATTTTTTTTCCCCTACAAATAACAAAAATATGAGGGAACAAAAATCAAGCATTGAACACCAAAATCAGCACAGCTATAACTAGAAAAAACAAAATACTTGGCCTTCAGCTGGGGCCCAGAACTTGGGGACAAAGTCACTTTGGTATTTGGCCCAGTGCCCTGGTGCCTCTAACAGATCCCTTCTAGGGGTAACAAGCGTGTGTGCCAGGCAGAGATGCTTGTAGGAGTAGAGACAAATGAATATAAAACACAGAGAAATGTTCATTTTCATCATTTTAAATATGCAAATACTATTTTGTGAACCAAAAATTGCTTTATTAAAACCCTGGAACACAAATACAAGTAAACTATATAATTCTAATTTAATCTTTTGTGTGTGGTTTTTTGTTGTTGTTGACAGTTGCCCAAATGATTTTAGCATGGTGTATCAATACACATCTTAGAAGTACGCAAAGAATGTTAGGTGTAAGGAATAAGATGTAAAAAAGAATGTGAAGCGAGAAGCGAGGTCTTTGGAATTAGTGGTTGTCACGTTCAGCATACTGTGTAGTCGCTCTAAAGTTAGTTTGAAAATATGATGTGAAACTATATGATAAAAATAACAATTATATTAAATACCAAAATCGAAGTTTTAAGTAAATGTTATTTTTCTTTTCACGGAGACTATTCTCCCACTCACCTTCCTTCCAGCACTCAATCCCTAAACCTCAAGAAAAAAAAAGCAAGATCAACAAAAGGAAAATGACTAAAATTTATAAATCCTAGATCTGAATAGATACTTCAGGTAATTGTGAATAAAGTGTGTGGCATGTCATAGGTGTAGTCTAGGAGACAAAGCAGTACAACCAATATTTACCCAGTCAGATCCATACCCCATGTTTACACGAGAGTAAACTTCAGGTTAATCTGAACAATGAAAAGAATTAAGATTATAATTATAAAAAAAAAAAAACCCTAGATGAACAGGTATTATGTTGAGAAACATCTCAACTCAGTTGTGGACCCCAAACTCTTCTACAAAAAAAGCCTCTGGGCACCTATGATCATTTGCTAGACTATGCCTGGTTTTCCTATACATATAACAGTCACAAGGACTTTGTTCTATAAGGAGCAATTCTGAGTTTATCATTCCTTTGCGTTTACTGAACCATAGAGATCATAGCTTGCAGTTTCCTGGCGCCTTTAAAAACCCAGTAGACAATTATTGGCCCCCAAGCTAATACGCATTATTTTTAGCAAAATGGTAGTTGGACTCATTACAGCTACTTCCGTTGGAGTAATTGGGTGGCTCTGAAAAGAGCCTTTGGGTTATCCACAAAAATAGACCAGGAACTAGGTTTACATTTATGCCCTCTCTCCGCGGATGCGGCGCGCGAGCTGGATGTCTTTGGGCATGATGGTCACTCTCTTGGCGTGGATGGCGCACAGGTTGGTGTCCTCGAACAGGCCCACCAGGTAGGCCTCACAAGCCTCCTGTAACGCCATCACCGCCGAGCTCTGGAAGCGCAGGTCGGTCTTGAAGTCCTGCGCGATCTCCCGTACCAGGCGCTGGAAAGGCAGCTTTCGGATCAGCAGCTCGGTTGACTTCTGGTAGCGGCGGATCTCGCGCAGAGCCACGGTTCCGGGCCGGTAGCGGTGGGGCTTCTTCACGCCGCCAGTAGCCGGGGCACTCTTGCGCGCCGCCTTGGTAGCGAGCTGCTTACGAGGCGCTTTGCCACCGGTGGACTTGCGGGCTGTCTGCTTGGTGCGAGCCATGGCGGGGATAAAAGAAAGCAAAAGACGTCTGTGAGAAAGTAGAAAGAGCCACCCTTCTTTTATAGAGTCAGACCGCCAACTGTTGGGCCCAAGAATATTCAAAAGTCCCCGCGCTCTTCTGAGATTGGTCCATCTCTGCGCCTGGCTGCGGATTAAGAGAGGTTTTCAGGTTGGTGAACGAATCCGATATCCTGCCCTTCACAGAAGCTGCGCTGACGTCATTTTATTAACCCTTTCGCTTCTATATCCCCAGTGGACAAAAATCCTGTACTGCAGGCTTCTGTCTTAAAATTTGAAACAAGGTAGCCACACAAAGCAATGCGGAAACCTCCAATAAATTCTGATGGAAAAGAAAAAAGACACTTTGGAGGGGATTTAATAAATTCGCATAGGTGCTGCATTTAAACTGATTTTCTGGGGTGTGGCATGAATATCGTAGGCAATTAGGAAAAGGCTCAATTATGGAAGATGCATGCTCAAGAAGCTTTTCTTGGGTGTGGCACGAATATTGTAGGCAATTAGGAAAATACTCCTGGTTTTGGAAGATATATGATGATAAGCGTGATGTGTTAAGGTGTATGCAACACAATTGCTACAGCAAGCGTGTAGACTACTGAGCCTAGGTGGAGAATATGTGGGTGTTCCTTAACAACCTAGGTGTAGTGTTACATGGTGTTCCTTGACAATTTCAGCGCATACTTTCTAAAATCGAAGCTGTACTTCCCTCTCTCCAAAACGTAAAGCTGTGTTTCCTCTGCAAAAACTTACCAAGTCATCCCAGGAAGAGTATGTTTTACGTGTGTGACTTTTTCCCACATATCCAAAGTCTCTACAAAGATTTTTATGGGGCGATATTTCCATAAGGCAATTTGCTAGGAGTGTCAGCACCTCATTTTGCCTCAAAACCCTTTATACAGGTGGCATTATTCAAAGCATGACAGCTCATTTAACGAAAGTGGTGGGTGGCTCTGAAAAGAGCCTTTGTTATTCGGCTGATTTTTCGTTCTCCGGGAAAATGGAAAGGCCAATGCAAGTAGTCAACACTTCATTTTCCCTTGGCTTTATGATGACTCTCGGTCTTCTTGGGCAGCAACACAGCCTGAATATTAGGCAGGACACCGCCCTGCGCGATTGTCACACGGCCCAGGAGCTTGTTCAGCTCCTCATCGTTACGGATGGCCAGCTGTAAGTGGCGAGGAATGATGCGTGTCTTCTTGTTGTCGCGAGCCGCGTTGCCCGCCAGCTCCAGGATCTCGGCAGTCAAATATTCCAGCACCGCTGCCAGGTACACCGGAGCACCGGCCCCCACTCGCTCGGAGTAGTTGCCTTTGCGTAGCAGGCGATGCACACGGCCCACAGGGAACTGCAGACCAGCTCGAGAAGACCGTGTCTTGGCCTTGGCTCGAGCTTTACCGCCCTGTTTTCCGCGACCTGACATTACTGCTACAGCAATAAAGGAAATGCCTCCACAAAGAAATATAGTTAGACTACGTTAGAAGTGAAAGCAAGAGAAATATTTATACTGACTGGAGGTAGCCCGAGGGGAGTTCTTTCATTGGCTAACGTCAAGTACCCAATAGGAAATCAAATTCTGCATCCTTCATTTGCATATGGTCCTTCCCTTTGGTGTAGGGTTCACGTTTGAACCGAGCACCAATCCGGCTTGATGAGCCTTTAGCTTGGAAATTAATAATTGAATCAATTTGTTTTTCTCAAAATACCATTCTTAAACACGGAGTCGGGGTATTCTGACTTTTGGCCACTGGTCCTTTTCTGGGATTGTGCCTCATGGTTATGGAAAGAAAAAGACTTGAAACAATTTCTAAATAGATAACATTTAAGAAGTGTGTACTTCTGTGCCAGGCATTATTTTAACTCTAAACCTCTCAATACAAAACGGGGAGAAAGGGAACAAATGATTCTTTATTGTGGACTAATTCTTCTTAAAGTAGCTGAACAATGAAAACAGAGCAAGGGTTGGATGACCAGCCCCTGACTTTTCACTTGTATCTTATATGTAAGGCTTTTAGATCACTTCGAAGGCATGTATAGTGAGTACTGTCCTCATTTTAGAGATTGTAAAACTGAGACCCCGAACAATTATTAACCTTGCCCAAGATAACATTGAGTTAGTGAGACCAAGGACTCTCACTTTCTGTCTGGAAACACTTTTCTCTTTGATGAGAGGCGTTCCCCAACACTCTACCGTTTGCTTTTTTCTCACTTGGGTACAACACACAGGATTCTAGTTATTTCCAAAAACTCCACATCATCCTGTACTACCCAATTTGCATATAGAACTGATAACTAGGGGAGGGAAGACTTTCCTTCTATCTTCTTTGGGTTGGATAACTGAAGCTATAATATAAACTGAGAGCAGGCTGATGAACAGGAGAAAAGATATACGAATTTATTACATTGTAGGAAAGAAAAGTGAATACTCAAAAACCCAGTGAAATCTAGAAGCTTATATACTGTCTTCACAGGGGAAAGAGGAAAGAGGATTTAGGGATAGTAGGGGAGAATATATGATTTGGGGGAAAGATGAGTAGCCCTTACAAAAAATAGGTGATGGCCTGTGACAAAGTGTCTGGTGTGGTGTTGCTCTTTATCTCCTCTCTTGTGATACAGTTAATCTTCCCTGGTTTATGAGATTTTCTCTGGTTGATGAGGTTCCCCTGGGGAGGGAATTCATGACAACTGAGTTCCTTTTGGAAGATCTGTCTTTAGTCAAATAAGGGGAATTCAGAGAAATACTCTACATTTACTGTTGCCAGAGTGCCCTCAGTTCAAAATAATCAGCACACCAAAGTGGGATATTTTGTTTTGGGGTAGGATTTCCTGAATTCTTTTGTAACATTGAAGCACATACCAGAGACTCTTTTAGGAAATGAGAGAACAAACACTCCATGACATAGCAATACTCAAAATGAGATTATGTGTTATAAAACACACAGAGTCATTGACTGGTCTTAAGCTCTTATGTCAAAGAACATAAAATCAAGAGAAATGGCCTAGACAAATCTTGTTTTTATAGTCCAGTGACAGAAGCAGATGAGGTCCAGGTGGAGTTAGATAATTATTTCAGGAATTTCTGAGGGCTCAAGCCCAAAGATCTACTTATACCAAAACAGGATGGTAGAAAGAACAAGAATCATGGGTGCCAGAAAATCTGCTCCTAAGCTAACACTGTCAGAGAATATGGTTTGATTCAGGGAATCTGACAGGAGAGTAAAGGTACTCATTTTCTCTGGGGTTTTTTTTTTTTTTTTTTTTTGCCTTCTCTAAAGTCTTCTGACTCCTGCAACCTTTTCTCTTGAGAATATTCAACCTCCTTTTAAAAAATAATTATCTTCACCATCAAGAACAGCAATAAACATCAATAACTGCTAGCTAATGAAAAGTTGAAATTTGCAAGACCTGTGATGGAGATGCAAAAAAGATATTTCAGACATTGCCCCAACAAGTATTATACTCTGTGAAGAGAGGACTTATATATATGAAGATTAAATAGCAGTGCCTATTCTGCATCCAAAATAAAGGTTTTGAGCAATAAATAATATAAAAGCACGAGAAAGAGAAGATTGATTACTGTAAATTAGAAGGATCAAAAGAGTTCCTGAGGGAGATGTGCATCCAGGATTTATTCAGCATATATTTACTGAAAATCTGCTAAGTGTCAGAGAGTATTCTAGGTGCAAGGAACATAGCAGTGAACAAAGCAGACAATGACCTATGTCCTCAAGGTGCTACTTTTTTTGTTGGGAGAGGTGCACAGTAAGGTAAATATACAGTGAAAGTGCAGAGATAAGTGATGAGTGCTATAGAGAAAAAGTAAGGAAGGGGGATAGGAGACACAATGGGGTTGTGGAGGGAAAGTGTCACCAGGAAGGTGTCATTTGAGTTTCAGACCTGAAGGAGATGAAGAAGCCAGCCAAGTAGGAAAAATAAATACTTCAATACAATGCCAGATGTATTAAAAGCCAGGAAAATGTCAGGAGCCAAAGGTCAGAAGGTACAGCTATTCTAATTTCCTGAACAAATTGTAGGCCATTTTGGATAGAGCAGTGGATATATACAGGACTAGATAAAACAGAAGCCAAGAATAAGGGCTGCTTGAAAAACCCAGGCTAGAAGCAGGAGTACACGCAGTCAAAATGTTACAGCAAGTGGTCCCGAGGACAAACCGAGTGGCACACGGAGAGTGGGAGAATCAAAATTTATTCACTGACGGGCTCCGAGGGGCCTCACCACCGAATTCTGAGCACTGTCTACCCGATTTTTCCCACTTTTATTAAGTTGTGGCGGTCTGGGGGATAGGGTGTCAGGTGGTTAATGCCTGCCAGGTAATAGTTTAGTTGATGTGTCAGATAACAGATTTAGTGTTATGCTGATGCACCAGGTAATAGATTAGTTGATGGGCCAGGTAATAGATTAGTATTATGCTGATGCGGGTCTTCCGTGAGGGGAGGGGGTCTCAGGTGGCTGATGTGCCAAGTAGCAGATGGGGGTTTTCCTTATCAAGATGGAAGTATAAGGAAGGAGGTGTGAAAATCTAGTTTGGAAAGGAAATAGAGAGGAACATAGGACTCCAGAGGTGGTTGTACAGCCGTCCCTGAGATAGGTAAAGGGTTAAAACCAGGATGAACAAAGAAAGGAAGAGATTCTACTTCTGTACAATTGCATATTTCTAAGCAAATGGGTTTCTGATCTTGGAATACAGCTCTCCAAAACAATGGTGACTAGCCACATGTTGCTACTCAGAACTTGAAGCAGGGTCCATTCAGATTGAGATATTCTGTTAGTATGAAATAGACTTAGTGTGAAAAAAGAATGTGAACTATCTCACTAATAATCATTCATATGGATTACATGTTGTAATAATATTTTGACTATGAGAGTTAAATAAAATATACTATTGAAGCTATTAAAAAACTCAATTACATATATAACTTAATAATATAGCTTATATATATTACTGCCTCATAACATGCTGAAACAGGAAGAGGGTGCTGGTAAGCTCAGATCTCTCTTCCTCTTCTAATAACGCCACCAGTCCCATCATGGGAGCCCTAGCCTGATGACATTATCTAATCCTAATTACTTCCCAATATCCCCACCTTGAATAAATATATAAATTTGTGGATTAATATTCCAACACATGCAAATTTGGGGACATATTCAAACCATAGCACATAGGTATATAAATATAAATTTGCTTTACAATGGTAAAATAGAAGCATTTATAAAATTCTAGATTTGTTTTGAGCTAATGTGTTCGAGACTAGACTCCATCACTCACCTGAATACTGTAAGAGTTAGAACCATAAACACTTTTATAATCAGTTCTTAATTTATTCAGCAGTTACCCATTGTTTATCTTAAACACCTTGTAAAACATTGGTTAAAAACAGGAGAGGTAATGATCCCTCATTTTCAAATAGGTTAACATTGATAACAAAGCTTCAAAGACAGCTCTAGTTGATCTTTGATGGGACTCAGAAAACAGTACCCCAAAATGAAGGCCTCAGAAGCAAAAGTTCTTCTCTGACCTTCTGTCCTCCTGCCTCTCAGTGCCACTCTTTCTTGAGGCTAGCCATAGAAACTAGAATCCCTTTTCTCCAAGGTGAATCATAAAAGCCAGAACCCCTTCTGAAATCCAGCCATAAAATTTAAAATTATTCCGTATAAAAACTGGCTATAAAGTAATTATCTGACCAACGTTGTTTGTCAGATAGAGTCATAAGTCATAAGTCATAAGTCATAAGACCCCCCCCATTCCAGAGAGGGCCCTGCCACACACCCAGAAGGAAGGAATGCATGCTCAGAGAGGCCAAGCAGAATCTAGACAGACAGGCCTTGCTGGGTTTGCCCATTCCGCCTGTTAGCATTAGATCATACTCTTTTTGTAAATCATATTTCTACATGCTTGTTCAAACTCTGTTGAACCTAAGCATAAAAATGAACAATTTTCCCCGTATTTTTGGGTCTTCATTCTGAAGGCTCCTGTGTATACATGTTAAATACATTTGTATGTCTTTTGTCCTATTAATTAATCTGTCTCATGTCAGTGATTTTACAGTGAACTTTTAGGGGGCCAAGGGTCTTTGCTCCCTACACTTTTTTGGATCTGTAGGTTGCATTTGTCTGACAGAAATTCTAATAAAGCCAGATAAGATATTTTCAGTACTTAGAAAACCACTATTAAAAAAATGATGATTATATCCATTTTTAAAAATGTCTTGAGTATAAAGTTATATTTGTACCCATCATGTGTTCTTTGGAGAAATTAGTTTGAAAATAGTAGCTGGAAATCTACTCTCTTATATCATCACATAGAAACAGCAAATAACAGTTATTTCAAAAGCTTAAAAAATTATGGTTCTGAAACAAGATAGACACACTTCTCTTATTCCTTCTGCTAAGTTCTGCTAAAAACCCTGGATATTATATGTAAGATAAACATAGTAAGACTGTAAGGCCAGGCGTCATGGCTCATGCCTGTAATCCTAACACTTTGGGAGGCTGAGGTGGGAGGATGGCTTGAGCCCAGGCATTGAAAGTTGCAGTAAGCTATGATAATGCCACTGCACTCTAGCCCAGGCAACAAAGTGAGATCCTCTCTCAAACAAACAAACAAAACCCCAAAAGTCTGTGACAGGCAAAGAAAAGAAGGTAGGCTGGCTATGAACCTTAACATCTAAGGAATGACACAGCTGTGTACTCCCTGGGTTATCTTTTTACCTGATGTATCCTGGACTATAACAAAAGACCTAATATTCATGTCTGTAAAGCTTCAGAAGGAGAAAAGAAAGAGAGTGGTATTGAAAAAATAATGGTTGAAAATTTCCTAAATTTGACAACAGACATAAATGCACAAATTCAGTAAGCTGAACAAACCCCATATAGTATAAACCTAAAGAAACTCATGCTAAGACATATCATAATCAAACTTATGGAAGCTAAAAATAAAGAAAATATCTTGAAAGCAGCAAAAGACCCCCCCCCAAAAAACCAAAAAACCTTACCTTTCAGAGAAAAATCAATTCTGATTTCTCATCAGAAACCATGTGCCCAAAGGAAGAGACACAACATTTTTTAAGGACTAAAAGAAAAAAACTAGAATCCTTAGCTATGGATTCCAGTTTAGAAATTAATGGGGAAATAAAGACATGCTAAAACAAAATAAAAAAAGAAAATTTGTTACCAGCATGCCTATCCATAGAAGAATGGCAAAAGGAAGTTCTTGAAAAAGAAAGAAAATGATATAGGAATCTTAGAACATTAAGAAGGAATAATGTGTTATAAAGTATTACTTTTTAAAAAGTGTTTAAACCACATCTTTCTTATCTAAACATGCAATGAAATGAGTGGCCACCTATAGTAATAACCATTTATTGTAAACAACTGCTTTCAGCCACTTTTAAAGCTGTAACTTTTACTAGTCAGCCATCGTAGACACAAAGGTGATATTTGAAAATTTGTCATTCCAGTGAAAGCCTTGGTAAAATAATTAGCATCTCCAATTGTGTCTTGTTACAAAAGAAAACAGATTTTTATTGAACTTATATAAATAACTACATTATAAATTAAATATACTCACAAATAGCTTACAAATTTTGGAAAAATCAGGTACAGAGAAAGGCAAATGTTTTGATTTTTTTGTAAAGGTATATTTTACCCAATTGTTATAAGCTTTAAATAATTGAAAATAAAAAAAGTTTTATTGACTCTGGAAAACAAAATATAAAAAAAATCAGTAATGTTTTAAACAAAGTCATAAAAAAATTTTAGTCTGTATCAGTTCAGTCACATGTAATTGTTCCCCTTGATTTTGGGTTAACAGTCCTCATGAACACATCCACTTTTTAGAGTCCTGACACTTTTACCTGGGCTGATGGTATGATCTCCAAAGTTATCAGAAACCTATATTTAATAGTACTTGTTAGACTCTTTCTCATGAATTTCCATAAATTGGACTGCAACAGATTATAAACTGCTTTTTGAGAAGGATCAAAGTAAGACAATAATTGTGGGTGACAAATCTTAGAATAGCCATGGTTAAACACACAATTGAGAAGGTAGTTGGTTATACTACAATTTAACATAATAATCATGAGTGATAATATATATAAGATTTATGAGAATTTTAGGAATTTCATACACATTTGGAATAAATATTATTAACACAGTTATATAAATACAACCAAAAGAAAGTTAAACACCATTTTTTAAAATTTGGCAATGTTTCCCGTATGATTTTAACATACTAAATAAGCCTAATGTGTCTCTCTTAGATTACGGGGGTTCTTGTTATGCCAAGTTAGTTTGAATCAAAAAGACTTAATTTTAGAATTTGAAATTTAACATTTAAAAATTTGTCAAATATCAAAAGTTTCAAACACATGCTCAAAATAGGATCACGGAAGTGCATTGGAGGTATAGTTGTGAGCATGGCTGCCTTTCAAAATTAGATCACAGGACATTGTAAAATAGTAGTCATTGATTTAGCCAAACTGATAATTCAAATATTTTAAAAAGCAAAAACCTTTACTCTTTGATTGAAACTCAGATTCCCAACCATAAACCTAACAAAGATACCATGAGGCAAAAAGAAATCTGTCTTTTCTGTTTCTTCCTTCTCTGCTCTCTTTTTAAATTTTTGGTAGTTTATTGAAAAGGTGAATAAAAATCTACTATTTCTATTAATGCTATATGAAAATTTTGTTTAAAGGAGAAACTAAATTTTACCTTTTATAAAAATTTTACCTTGTAGCTAATCGGAGTGATTACCCAACCCCTCCGATGGGGTGCAGAAGTTTATATGCTATTGTGAGATTACAGAAAGAATGTGGGCTCACAGCATAGCCCAAAAGAGGTTAAGGTGGTAAATCAAGTTTTAGTGGCAAGATTATGGGAGGGAGAGAAGAGGAGACTTAGCTAACAAAGGTGGTCTTATATAGATGAAACCTCATAGATAGCAGCCCTCAAAGAGAAGAGATAATAAACTTTTTTTTCCCCCCAGATCTTTAAGGTGTCAGACTCTCAGTTAATCTTTCCTAGATCTGGACAAGGAAAGACCTGGTTTCGTTAATGTAGATTTTCTACAGATACAAATTTCCCCCAGAATAGACAGTTTTACAGGGTTACTTCCGTTTGCTGGCTCTTTGACAGCCATCTCAAAATATGTCAAAAAATATTTTCTGGGGTAAAATATTTTGATTTCCTTCAGTAACATGGTTTATAATTTTTAAAAAGGGAAGGCCAATTCATAAAAGGCAATTACCCACTTTCTTACAATGAAATGCAGTCATGAAAATGATCATTAGAATCTATCTTTGTTAATTTAAAAGGATAATAGAAAAGCAAAAGTATGGTATATAAAAAGCTTTATATATCTGCGCATATAGATTTGCCTGGCATAAAATTTTTGTGAGAGTGGTCACCACAGTATCCTGAATGATGGAATTACAATTGATGTCTATATTATTGGAGAGAAAAGCTTTCTTTTTTTCTCACCCACCACTAGGTTCATGACTGAGGCCCCTGTAATAAAAGACAGATTAGCAAGAAAAAAGCATGAAAATTTAATATAAGTTTTACATGACACAAGAGCCTTCAGAAATGAAGACTCAAACAGGGAAACTCGTGTAGTTTTATAGTAAATTTAGTGAAGGAGTGGATAGTTGTGAAGAAGTATGATTGGTGGCAGGGGTATAATCTAATGGTAATATACTGGGGGGAACGTAGCAAGGCCTATTTGTTGAGATTCTTCTCTGTGACCCTGTATCTTCCAAGACAAGGACATTCCTTTCCTCCAAGTACAGAGAGGGCACCTCTCATAAGAGAGTCTCATGACCTGCTTCAGGAGAAGATCAGCAAATTTTTTCCTACTTTGTATGGTCTGCTTCAGGGAAAAAGAAAGAGTGGAAAGTGAGAATGACCTTTCTGCTTATGCTGTTTTCTCAAATCTCAAGGTGCCATATTTTGGGGTAGCATGAACTAAACCCAATCAACATATTTATGTGAAATTGTTTTAGTGGTTATTATTGTTTTAAATTAATGCACAGGGATTATTTTTCCAGGAAGTAAAAAAGAAAAAAACTCATTTAAACTTATTTACTGGAAATGAAAAGCCAGTAAAAACAAAACAAAAAAAGACACATGTCAAGTGTTGCTGAAGACAGAACAAGAAACCTATGTTCTCCTACCTGCCAAGCAGCAAGGCAAGGATATTCCTTATTGAAGTAGAAGATTGAAAAATTCCACTAAAGTGGAATTCTTAGAAATTCCACTACCGAGCTTTTCTTTTCCTTGCGATCTTTATCTGGGCCCCCTCCTCCCCTGCGACCTTGCCCTCATAAATCACCTGTAGCCTGTAGCAATTAATATACCAGGCTGTAAAAATAGCTTAGGGCTCTGCCTCACTAAAGTTAACCCTGTTGTGACCATGCCCCTCCTCCTCTCCTGCCCTGTGACCTTTCCCCTCATAAATCACCTGTAGCAATTAGTGTACCAGGCTGTAAAAATAGCTTAGGACCCTGCCTCACTAAAATTAACCCTGTTATAGCCCTGCCCCTCCTCCTTAAGCAGAGTGTACAAAAGACTGCAATGCTCTTTGTCTGGTGCTCAGAATTTGGGGAGAGCAAATTCCCCTCTGAGCCTTGCCGGCCGGCACATAAAACCTGTATTGCCAAAATCTCTACGTGTGTCTCTCGGTCTATTCTCGGTCAGCCCTGCCGTAACATTATCTTTTGACTATGCCTTTTCTTTCCCAAATCATGAACAGTCTAAGGACTTTCTGGGCCTTTATTATTTCCAAATTCTTAGTCAACCTCCCTCCAGATTAAAATTCTCCCCAAACCTCTCTATCTAGTTTCAGTTGCCCAGAACTCAGTTAAGGGCAACTCCTTCTCCCTGCCTCTACGAACTCAGCTTATTCTGTTTTCAGGTCTTCTTTTTTGAATGGAGGGGGGAGGCAAGTCTTTCCATGACTAAATGGAGAGCTGAGGATGTAGTCTCTCATTTCCTGTGTAACCCAGAGACTTTGGAGACAATGTGGGAGTTTATTAGTGAAGGGAGTGTATAAACCCTTCTAATTTCACTCAAGTTGATGGGCTTACCCTCTGGTCCTGTTGTGTCCAAAATTGGAGCCTCATCAGAATCAACTGGGCAGATTTATGAACATTTCTGACTTCTTTACACTCCCCATGGAGTCCAGGAGTCTGATTTTATTTTTAATTCCCTAGTCACTTATTAAAGATCAGCTAAATAACAGTATGGAAAACAAAAAGACCTACCTTTGAGTTTAGGAGGCCTAGGTTTTGTTTTGGGTTTGACAATTAAGGGTATAGTTTTAGAAAAAAAGTCAAGAATTCTGGATTTCTTATTTGAAAGAAAAAAGAAAAGAAAGAGAAGGAAGGAAAGAATTTAAAAAAGAGGAAAGGAAGAAGGCAGGCATGCAACAAAGTTGCAGAAGACAAAATAAGAAAATAATCTCTATTTCAAGAGTTCATTGTGAAAATGCTAAGAAATAATTTTACTACCAGGTCTCACTCCCGAAAGGGAATACACTAAAGGTCACTTTCTTAAACTGAAGCCTGGGTTTATTAATAACTTTTTTCAGGAGAGGCAGTCGTTTTATAATCTAAAAAACAAAAACTGATTTTTAAACCAAATCTCTCTTTCACAATGAGAGTTTGCATATATAGTACTGAGACAGGAAGTGCTTCTCATACAGTGCTTCACTGACATCTTGTGTGGGATCTAGAAGATAATTTTATTTTTTAATCTTTTATAAAAGGGGCCTGTTTGGGAAACTTTAAATTTTATTTCTTCATCCAAAGACACTGCTGAACATCACCTACATAAGGTGCTCATAAGCAGAAGGAAAACATTCCCCCCCTCCTTTCTAATAGGTAGTCAACAGCTGTTTCTTCTTTCTGCTCTTCTTCCCGTCCCCCAGTCCTGGACCCAGATGTGACCTTATTGACTCTTCCTCCTCAACCACTGCCCTTCCTGTCTTTTTCTAGCTATTATTTTTGGAGTCTCGGATTCTTCCAAAAAGGTCTCCTGAAGGAAACCGGTCTCCTTCTTCAACTGGGGCCCTCTCAGTCAGCTATGAGATGGCGCCAGATGGAAAAGGCACGAGATTGAAATCCTTTGTCCCTCCCAGAGTTTAAGCCAAAATCCACGCCCCATTCTAGCTGTAAACACAAATGTTAAGATGCCCAGGAAATGGGAGTTTGGATTTTTGGGATGCATGGAAAATTTAAACGCTATTTAACTGTTGTTATCGATAAACAATTGCAATGCGAGATTAGAGGAATTTCATTTCATCGTGCAAAGATCTGGAGGTATACCACATAGAGATGCCCAGGGGAATTTCAGACTTCTCTTGCTGTTTTCCTAGCGCTTGAGGCCAGAATTCACTGTGAGTTCAAGCTCCAGGAATAAACTTCCCTACATGCATTCCCGCTGCACCCTCTCCTCATCACTGCCACCGCCTTTGAAATCCCTTATCTACTTCATTATCCAGCATGGAATTACAGTCTGTCCCGGAAACGCGCTGGGTCAGGAAGGGGAGTAGTGACATCAAAGTAAATGAATGAATGAACACTCAAAGGCAATGAGGACCCGTGTTAAATATATAGATAAGAAATAGAAATCGCCATCTTTTTGGGTGCGTGCTGCTTTAAGCAAAACAACGGTTCAAGTCCTTCGCCAACCTCCGCTCCAAATTTGCCTTATCAACAATCAAGTTTATTCATTAGTAATCAAACCATAGCAGTATCTACACTTAAATGTTACAGCTCTCTTTCAACAAAGTGGGTGGCTCTGAAAAAACCTTTAGATTAGGGAGTGCCAAATATGTACTTGGAGCTGGTATACTTGGTGACAGCCTTGGTGCCCTCAGACACGGCGTGCTTCGCCAGTTCCCCTGGCAACAGCAAACGCACAGCCCTTTTGATCTCCCTGGAGGTGATGGTAGAGCGCTTGTTGTACACTCCAGGAGAGATGCCCCCCCTCCCATTCGCTCGAAAATGTCATTAACAAATGAACTCATGATCCCATAGCTTTAGAGATGTTTGTGTTGGGATGGACTTGCTTCAGCACCTTGTACACGTAAATAGAATAGCTCTTTTTGCGGTTGCGCTATACGCTTCTTACCATCTTTCTTGCGTGCCTTAGTGATGGCCTTGGAACCCTTTTTAGGAGCTGGAGCATGTTATGGTCCGGAGTGCGAGAAAGACCACTGCAGCAGAATTAAATCGAATATGTGAGTCTTTATTAGCTGGCCAGCGACCACCCCTGTTCCGGCAGAGAGTCCAGAGACAGAGAGCGGCAGCTAGCTGTAGAGAAAAGGGGGAATTTATACAGTCTTAGTTGACTACATATAGTGAGAAAAACAGGTCATACTACAGCATAACAGGATATAGATGACATCAGAACGTACTGCATAACAGAATGTACATGATATCAGAACGTCCTTTTTTCCATTAACTCGGGGGCCTGGGACCAGCCTCAGATCACCTGCTTTGATTACAGTCTTTAGGCAAGCAAGTTTACAGAAGCAGATAGCACTGGCTAAGGTAAGGTACATTTTTTTCATGAATTAAACAAGCATAGTAAAAGTTAACTACATATACCGGGGAAAGTTAGACAATCGGTTACAAGTTAATTTGTTTTTCTGTTCCCAATGCATACTTAGGGAGCTCGTAGGTCATGCTACGGCCAGCCTGCCTTTAAGATGGCTACCGTTCACAATATGGCTGCACTGTGGCTCACAGAGGGGAGTGCCATCTAACAGAGCAGATTTAGAGAGTTCAGGCATCGTTTTTTCCCACAAAATATAAACATACTAATCAAATTCTCCGCAAGAGTTTACAGTACACTTCGGAACCCAAGTATTTATAGTCCTGTAATTCAAATGAGGTTCAAAATTTCTTGCTTTGGATTGGTCAAAAGGAATACACAGTCTCTAAGGGGCGGTGTTTATGCGAATAAGGAATGACGTTCTCTTTTCCTATTGGACAAGTCAGCAACGTTATTCGACGAATAGGATAGCTTTCTGTCACAGTCCTGCACGGTCTATAAATATATTTGTTCAAGGTGCACTGCGTTTTCTTCCTTTTGTGCGCAGTTTCTTGCTGTGGTACGACATCACTATGTCTGGACGTGGGAAACAGGGAGGTACAACTCGAGCTAAGGCCAAGACTCGGTCATCTCGAGCAGGCTTACAGTTTCCCGTGGGCAGAGTCCAGCGTCTCCTTCGCTAGGGCAACTATTCCGAGCGCGTTGGGGCCGGCACGCCAGTGTATCTGGCAGCGGTGTTGGAGTACCTGACCGCTGAGATCTTGGAACTGACGGGCAACGCGGCCCGTGACAACAAGAAGACCCGCATCATCCCTCGCCACTTGCAGCTGGCTATCCGTAATGACGAGGAGCTCAACAAACTATTGGGCAAAGTCACCATCGCGCAAGGCGGCGTCCTGCTCAATATTCAGGCTGTGCTGCTGCCTAAGAAAATTGAGAGCCACCATAAAGTCAAGGGCAAGTAAAATCAGCTTAAGCCACAAAACGTTACTCACTTGTTCTTTGCTATGCTATTTAAAGGCTCTTTTCAGAGCCATCCATATTTTCACAAGAAAAGCTGGTAACTCCGTTATATTTCAGATTTCTTTCTTTTAATCCTGTTGTTGTTAGCAACAAACGTTGAGTATTCGTGAAAGTCAGTGATGTTGAGACATTAAATGAGTTCCGAGAAAATATGTCGCCCCTTAGGCACTCCATTTTTGGGCATACCGAGTAAGACAAACCAAAAATTATACTTAGAGAACAAAGGAGGGGCAGGTATTGTCACTTGGACTCGGGGAAAAACAGGGCAAGAAAACTTGCCATTAGCTAATAACAAAGTAGTGGGGACTTTACAAATTCTGATCTTTAGCAAAACATATTGTCCAGCATAAATCAGGGAACATTTGCTGTGATCCAGTGGGTATCCAGCAACATTGATAACTTGCAAGCGTGTTAAGAAGGCAGAATTTCAGGTCCCACAGAGACTCACTGAATCAGAATTTACTTTTTAACACGATCTTTAAATGCTTTGTTATGTACACTGTACTTGATGGCATGAACTAGAACATCAGAATATTTATCTTCTCAAATAACAGACTGAACGAAAGTGTTGAGGCTGGCGGTGAAGCAATTCGTCCAATCAGATTCTCTACTCATAAACCAATCACTGGTCACTCTTCAGCCAATGATTGTATCGGGCGGGACTTTTGAAATATCAAAAGGCCAATCAGAATGCTTCTAACTCTATTTAAAGGCAACCTAAGCTCAGTTTAGAACAGACGTTTGGCGTGTTTTCAGTCACTCCAAATGGCTCGTACTAAGCAGACTGCTCGCAAGTCCACCGGGGGTAAGGCGCCGCGTAAGCAGCTTGCCACTAAGGCGGCCCGCAAGAGCGCCCCGGCCACCGGCGGCGTGAAGAAGCCCCACCGCTATCGCCCGGGCACCGTGGCCTTGCGCGAGATCCGTCGCTACCAGAAATCGACTGAACTGCTGATTCGAAAGCTGCCTTTCCAGCGCCTGGTGCGGGAGATCGCGCAGGACTTCAAGACCGACCTGCGTTTCCAGAGTTCGGCGGTGATGGCGCTGCAAGAGGCTTGTGAAGCCTACCTGGTGGGCCTGTTCGAGGACACCAACCTGTGCGCTATCCACGCCAAGAGAGTGACCATCATGCCCAAAGACATCCAGCTCGCGCGCCGCATTCGTGGGGAAAGGGCATAAATCAAGCCTGTTTTCTCCTACTTGAAAAGAAAAGGCTCTTTTCAGAGCCACCCACAATTTCACTGAAAGTAGTTGTAAGCAATTTTCCCAATTACTAAGACAAAATGCAATCAAGTTTCATTTGTTATACGTTGAAAAAAGTAATTGGTCAGTGTGCTTTATGCTTGTGCACTACACTTACAGGCGCTTTGCATTGGGAGCGATCCCTATCTAGGCCTTCTGGGTTCTGGAGAAGAGCAGGAAATGGAGGCCAAAGAAAGCTAATTAATTAAGGAAATTTTCCCCTTGACTTTTGCAAACCTTTTTCTCTTTAATTTACAAACACTTTTTTTCCTGTTTTTCATTTGAATTGGGTCAAACAGCCTTTATACAGGTATAAAAAAGCCATATACATCACAAAATTCAGAAAAATTAGCATATTTTATTAGCTCTCAAACACTATAGTATGTATTTTTTTATGTTTTTGACCGAATACTCTGATGCCATCTTCAGGTGAAAATTATTTTGTAATATTTTATAGATAGTGGAAGGAGAATTAGGTCTTTACTTCAGGGTGGTTGATGATAATTTGTTGTATTTTCTTGGTAATTTAGAAGAGTTTCAGCTTTAAAACATTGGTAATGTCAAGTTTTTAGGATTGTTTTCAAATTTGAAAAATCCTCTGTCAAGCTTTTTTTTCTTCACATGAGTCATAAAATGTGTAAGAATTCTTCCCAGACTAGCTTCTGGCTCTATACATTTCTACTCTACTATGTACCCACCCTCAGTGCTGGGTAGGTATTATGAATATTTGGATGTCATGACATGTTTTCTAGCCCAGCATCTTGCCAGGAGTCTAGCTGAGTTGTCCCAGTGTGCTTTAGGAATATTCTTTGAAGCAATCTTACGTCAGATTGCCTAGCAACAAAAGAACCATATTTGAGCACCTATGCAAATCACATTATATAATTTATTAATCCTGTATTAAATGCCTCTTCAAATTTTCTCTTATCTGAATCCCAACATTTTCATCATCGTTCTAACATAATCAGACAATGGTTATTTGTAAAGGAGAAGATCAAGTAGAAATAAAATAACAGTATTAACCATTTGTTTAAAGTATCTTAACACGGCAAATTGAAAAAAAAAAAAAAATGAGACAACATGAATACATTTGTAGAATCCCTCCCAGGGTGTTGGAAAAGGACTTGACACTTGAGTTTCGTTAGCTTCAGGATAAATCTATCTTTGAGCACTGGCTATGCTTTTCCAGATTATATACAGGATGCCTTCCCCGGCATCCTGCCACTGTGTTCAAACACACGACCCTAGGAGTGAGAATCACTGGTCTGAGATGACTCCCAGGCATCTGAGACAGAACACTGCTTTGTATGATGTTTTGGATGAAGGTGCTGTTCTCAGAGATACCAAGAGAAGAAAGCTTAGTGGGGAGGATATAAAGTCAACTTTAAGCACTTTGAGAACATTTTCAGTACCAAGGTGAATTTCCCGGGACAACTTTGCAAGGTTTTATAGCTCCTGTACTCAATATCACCTTCTTTTAGAGGGTCTTCATGGAAGGAAGGAACAATAAAACAATGGATTCACTAGAGGAGTCAGCCTAATTAGCTATCATTGATAGCGTTCCATGGATCAAGTAGCATGTGAAGTGATTGGTCTCTAAGTCTCCATTTTATAGAGTACAAACTTCAGCCAAAGGAATGTCAGTAAATTGGCCAAATTCATACTACTAGCAAATAATAATGCCAGGCTGGCAGTCTCATACCAAATCCACACTCTTAGTATCTTCCGATCAATAAGATTACCCAAAAATGGGCTGTCAGATATAATTTCTTCCTCAAAGATAACTCTATTTCAGAAATTGAGCTGCCTTAGGTGGTTAGGAGGGGCTTGCATAGCCTGGCCTGGGCTAAGTTCTGTTAGACTCCTCTGGTTAGGGACCTGTGTGAGGTAAAGCGGGTAGGATGAGCCAATAAAACATCAAGTCTTAGGAATGCTCTCTGGCCTTCAGGATTAGGTCAGAAAAATTGTTTCCTTGGAAATATCTGGATTCTGCTCCAAAGCAGGTATTTGCTTGGGTGTCTTCCCACAGTATAAGAGCTGTACTTCTCAAAACGGTAGCCACTAGCCATAAGTGGCTATTAAGCACTTGAAATGTGGCCAGTCCAAATTAAGATGTGCTTTAAGTGTAAAATACAAACTGGATTTCAAAGACTTAGTACCTAAATAAATAAATAAATAAAATAAAAACTCGGTATTTTATATTACTTATTGAAACAATATCTGCTTATGCTGGGTTAAAAATATTAAAATAGATTTAACTTGTTTTTTTTTACTTTTTTTTTAATGTGGCCACTAGAAACTTTGAAATTACATATATGGTTCTTATATTGGCAAGGGACAGCACTAGTATGTGGAGGATAATTATATTGACTCACAGATTAGAAACTACCTACCTACATCCTTAATGTCACCAAGGCTTGGTTCTTCATCTCTAAAATGGGAATAATAATGACACCTATCTCAAAGTGTGGTGACAAAAATGTGTTTGGAAGTAAATACAGAGTAATTAGGAACAGTGCTTGGTATGTTGTAAATAAGTGCTCAAGAAATGCTAGCTCTCAAAGCTGTTGTTGCCATTGTGCCCTAAATCCTTGTTCCCTTCAGAAATCCTCTACTGATGTAATCCTGTTTCGCACTGGGCCTGTTAAACTCTGGCATGGATTTTAACCACAAAGCCACCTTTCACATTTCCCGCAGGCTTACATAGCCAACATACCTAGAGCTTTGCCTAGGGGGCTAATAGGATATTTAATTTTTTAGCCATGAGATCAGAGCACTGTATATGAAAGTATTGAATAATATATTACAAGAAGGATTTGATTTCTGTGTTACACTTCTATCATACATGAACAAATTCATGAATTTTCATGGTTGAATTATCAGTCAGCTCTTTATGTAATATTCACTGACATTTTTGGCTAATCAGCAGTGTTTGGGGAAGTATTTGAATATAGTATTGCTGTTTGTTAATATGATTTTATAAAACTAAATGAAAATTTGAAATGATAATATTAATAATGTCAAATAAAATATAGGTTTTGAAGAGAATCATGTGATCCCAAAATATGTCACTTCAACATAAGAATTATTTTCAGCTGAAGGCAATTGAGACTCAACAGATGTAGGAAAAGTTCTCTTTCCCTTACTCAACTAAAAGTAGGGCACACATTTCACTTTTTGAAGGTGGCATAAATTTCCCTTGTGAAAGCGACCTTGTCTCCTATGCCAGGAAAAAGGGAGCAATTCTTATCACTAGAGATAGTGAGTTGGCATTGAGATGAGTGTACAAAAACAAACCTTACTAAAATAATTCTTATCTTCCATTAGATTTGCCTGTATATTTCCAGTCACTTCCCTACAATTTATCATCCTGTGAAGCCCAAACCACCTTTCCCTTGCTACAATGGTATATAAATAAGTCTCACAGTCTAAGTTCTTTTTTAAGGATTTACTTTTTCCTTCTGTGAGCTCTGTGCTTGTTATAAAACTGTGTGCTTTTTTTCTCCTATTAATCTGTCCTTTGTCATTTAAATTTACAAGCCTCCAGTTACTAAACCTCTTTAAGAGGTTAGAGAAAAAATTTTTCCACTTGACAGTTTCATAAACTAAATAAAATTAAGACAAGATTTTTTTTTTTTTGTCTTAAAGTAGACAATTTTTAGATTCAAATGAGTGGCTCATTAGACCTAAGCCTGTCAACTGTGTGAACAACTGTGATGGAATGAAACAAAACTAAAGGATGTGTACAAAACTGAGGAAACATATTGAAGACTGAATCTAAAGGCTAGGTAATAGTGGAAATTTTTACAGTTTTTAACCCTGTTAATTTGAAGAATATGTTTCATTTGAAAGTAAAGGACATCTATCATTTATGGAAATATGTTTACAGGAGACATTCAATCTCAGGATTAATGGTAAATATATAAGTCCAATGAATTGAGACCCCAAAGGCTTTGAAGGAAAATTAGAAACTCAACTGTCTTCCCTTGGGTTGATTCCTCTCCTGCCTAACTCTTGGAGTTGATGTGAAAATCAAGTAAATGGGTAGACCTGAAAGTATTTGAGGGAGAAAGGAACAAAGAAGTTCACGGTATCATTACTTTAAGCACTAATTGTGATTATATTTGGAGTGTCTTAATTAGGTCTCCAAGTTGCTGCAACTAGACCCAACCTGAGCTAAGGGAGGTAACCCCCATGCCAGGATTTCAGATGGCTCTAAGAACCAAGAACTCAGGAGATGTCAGGAACCCAGGTAGAGCAGCTCTATACATCTCTCATCGCTGCTTTTCTCTGTACTTTACCTTCATTCTACTTCTTTTGCATATCAGATCTTTTGGCTTCTTCTATTTAGTGTCTAAAAAGGCAACGCCACCCCCTGACATCAGGTCACTTCAGCTTACATAACTCAATTCTAGTTTCTAGAAAATTTTTGATTGGCTCAAATTGGCCCAATGACCTCTGGACCAATCTACCATTGCTTAAAGCCAGACACCCTTTATCCTCAAAATTCTAGTACACAAAACACAGTGCCTATTAGGAAACACTAGCATTCAAGCTTTGAACCAAAAAAAAAAATGAGGTCAGCATCGAGACCAAAGGTCATTTTAGAGTTGCATTGTCCCTATCATCTCCATGAGCTGCATATGGTTAACAGTACTTGAAATGGGCTACTATAAACTGAGATGTACTATAAGTATAAAATACAGATGAGATTGCAAGGACTTAGTATGAGAAACAAAAAGGAATGTAGAATATTTCCTAAATATTGTTACATTGATTTTATGTTGAATGATAATATTTTGGATATCAGATTAAATAAAGCATATTAAAATTGATTTCACCTGTTTCTTTTTTCCTTATTTGTGTGGCTTCTAGGTTTAAAATTACATATGCAGCTTGCATTTGTGCTCCCCTTATATGGCTAAGGACAGTGCTATTTTACAATTTGTTAATTCACTCATGTATAGATCTTCCATAACTGAGTAGCTTTAATGTGCACTTTATGAGATGCTGGCCCTCAAGGAATCTAAAATCTATAGGTTGTCATTTCCAACAGCAACAAAAAAGATAAAATATCTGGGAATAAAGGTAAGAAGAAATGCTAAGATACATTTGGAAGAAAATTAAAACACTCTCGTTAGATAACAGAAGAATTGAAGAAATGAAAAAACAAAAATTCCTGAATAAGAAAACTGAGTATCTTCCCAAGTTAATTTATAAATTTAACACAATCCCAATAAAACTACCAATTGTGTGCCGAGGGCTTGTTTGTTTTATGTGTGATGTGTAGTGGAGGAGTAGGAGGGGGGAACGTCTTAAAGTACATATGGAAAAATAAAATAAAAAATAGAATAAACAGGACAATTCTGAAAAATGGAGTAGTGGAGGGAATTAGCTCTATCAGCAATTAAAGTCATGTTATAACATCTCAGTTCATTAAACATTCATTTAAATTAGTTCCTCCTTATTTTGCGGTGGCTACGTTCCAAGAACCCCAGTGAATGCGTGAAACCACAGATAGTACCAAACCCTATATTCACTATGTTTTTCTATACATAAATACCTATGACAACATTTAATTTACATAATAAATAAGGCACAGTAAGAGGTTAACAGCAATAACTGATAATAAAATAGAACAATTATAACCATATATTGTAATAAAAGTTGTGAATCTGATCTGTCTCTCAAAATTTATTGTACTGTACTCACCCTTCTTGTGAGATGATACAGTGCCTACATGATGAGATAAAGTGCAGTGAATGGGGTAGGCATTGTGAAGTAGCATTAGGCTATTGCTGACTAAAGTACTAAATATTTAGTTAGTTACTATTTGAATACCTGCTATGTGTCAGGTATTCTCAGCACTGTGACAGAATATTTAAAACAGGATGATCCTACCTTAGGAATGGCCAGAAAGACCAAAGAAACAAAATAAAAGCCTGATTTTGTCCACCTGTCCATGGAATTTAGCCTATGATAAAAGTGGGATCCAAACTGGGGAGGGAAAAGTCTTGGGTGGAAAAATGGGTCCATACATTAAACTTTACACTAAAATACAGAGAAACTTGTTTATTTAATGTTAATGTAAAATTAACAACACAAAACGACTTAAAGAAACCATGGGTGTATTTCCTTTCCTTCTTCACTGCCCCCTTGCCTCTGCTTGCCTCCCTTCCCCTCTCTCCCTTATTTTTCTTCTTTCCTGAGGATGAAATCCGTGGCCAGTACCACTAATGGGGGAATTTGCTCACACTATATTCATCGTTGTGAAAATGATGGAATAACTGAGCTGCAGGTCTCCAGAAATCCCTGTCCCTGTAATTTGGGTCTCATCAAAATCTATGTGCACCAGAAGAAAAACAAACAAAACAAAACAAAGAAATGGGATGCTGAACTTTCTGTATCCAGAAGAAACACCGTGGATGTGAAAGAATCCAGGGAACGCTGTTAATGAAAATTAAAGGCCTTTATTAGAAACATGCTTTCCAACCATATACACACTTTCAATAGTTAATAGAACCAATACTTTGTTCTCCGCGTAGAAACATGTGGACTGTACAAAAATGCGTTTAAAGCAGCTTCGACTTTTAATGTTGATGTCTGTCCAATGTGAGCATCAGTAACCGGGAGGACAAAATGACTGGCTAAAACTTGTGTTTTTAATGCGCTCAAATCCATCGCTTCTTTTTGGAGAGCTGCACGATACGAGCAACAAAGATCCTAGTCCACCCATTGCCCTGGGTTGGTGCCCCGGCTGTAGCTGCTTTTTAAATGCGTTCGTTTCCGCAGTATCGGAAATTAATGGCAGAGGAATGCAGGACAAAGGCACCTGAACCCACTTTGTCCCAGGGTTGCATGTTACCAACGCCCCCAGAATTCAGCAATTTGATTTACGATAACATAGCAAGTGTCCCAATACCAGATCCATTTCTTTAGGGAGAAAAAGACAAAACTTTAAACTCCATTGAAACAAAACATGCAGGATAATAAACTACGCCGGCCATCACGCAATCAAATACAAAGCGAAAACTATGGGCTGGAGGAGTGGGCCAACCCGAGAGCAGGGCGGGACTTTTGAATTACTTCTTAGTCCAATCGGGCACCCCTTAGGGCTAAAAGACTGACTCTTGTTTTGCAGGGTTTTTTTCTTTTTGCCGTTCCCAAGCTTGGGGCGGGGCTGGCGGCTATCCCAAGTACATCAGCCAGTGAAAGACGTCTCAGAACAGCTGACCAGAATGCTAACAGTGCGGAGTGGCCAGAACAAGCGAGCTCCCCTCGAGGGATGGGAGGGGTAAAGTCTACGGGTTCTAACCTAACTGCCGCCACTTTCTCCCACCACCGTGACAGTTTGTTAGCAGTAATCTTTACGGTACCTTTATGGTGCCTTAGAGTAAGGAGCTACAGGAAGATAACCAAGCAGGCAGATAGATGTTAAGCTCTTTTTGAGGTCAGTGGTGGCTCTGAAAAGAGCCTTTTGGGTTTTAGAAGATGTTCAGATCTACTTCTTCTTGGGTGCTGCCTTCTTGGGCTTGACAATCTTGGGCTTGGCGGCCTTGGGCTTCACGGCCTTAGCTGCGCTCTTGGCGGTCTTCTTGGGCTTGGCAACCTTAGCCTTCTTTGGACTCTTTGCTACTTTCTTGGTCACAGCAGCCGCGGCTGGCTTTTTCGCCTTCTTCGGGGTCTTCTTGGCGCTCTTTTTTGGAGTGGCGGCGCCAGTCGTCTTCTTGGGCTTTTTGGCTGCTCCTGCGGGCTTCTTGGGTTTGGCTCCACCTGCCTTCTTGACCTTAGGTTTAGCTTCCCCGGAGGCTGCCTTCTTGTTGAGCTTGAAGGAGCCAGAAGCGCCAGTGCCCTTGGTCTGCACCAAGGTGCCCTTGCTCACCAGGCTCTTCAGACCAAGCTTGATGCGACTGTTGTTCTTCTCCACATCGTAGCCGGCAGCTGCCAGCGCCTTCTTCAGTGCAGCCAAAGACACCCCGCTGCGCTCCTTGGAAGCAGCTACAGCCTTAGTGATAAGCTCTGACACTGGGGGGCCAGACGCCTTACGGCGCGCCCCCGCAGACTTTTTGGCTGCCTTTTTCTTCACCGGGGTCTTCTCCGCTGGGGGCGCGGCGACGGGAACGGCAGGAGCAGTCTCCGACATATTGAAGATGAACAACTAGGGCACAAGTGGCAAAACGCCGATGAAGCAGCGCTTGGGCAGGGCCGCCGTATATATAGAGCGCAGGCGCGCGCTGATTGGTGCGCTGGTCGCCCCCTGGCTGGCAGGCTTTGAGCCGCTGCGCTGCGCTCAAGTTGTGTTTGTTCCACCTCACAAAAGGGAGAAAATATTAAAATGCCCCGCACCAAATCACCTGGGTTTGGTCAGAAAATGATCCGAGAAGCCTCAGGCTTCGTACTCTCCAATTATTTTTTCCACAACCACAAAGACAACGCGTCCAGACGTCCCCAATTCCCCCAACTCCTGAGGAAGTCCAGGACAGTCAGAGACCACTTTCTGTTTTTCTTCTAAATTACCTGTTCGCTCCTTTGCCCCTCAAAGTTCTTTTTCGCAGGGGTGGTTGGGCACATGCTTCCCTTATTTTGGGGCCAAAAACGAAATATTTTCCACTTAAATTTTCACGATAATTCTGTTTCTTCGCAAGGGAAGTAACACAGGTCCTCTGTGAATTCTGCGTACAGACCCACAGGAACTGTGGACTGGGACAAGGATTCCAGAGCCAGTCCAAAGCAGTTAGGGTGGGATGGAGAGAGTTCATAAGCCTTAGGTGGGGGACCCAAGGGAGTGGGGGTGAGAGACTTAAATCTTTGATTTAAAGACATTGAAAATTTTTATCAAGTCTCTCTTTTCATAAATGGGGGCGGGGCATCCTTTTCACTTCTCTAAAGGCGAGAAATTGGGCTGGTTTTAAAAAGCTTTGAGTTCCCCCTCTGAGTTGTGCAAGGCAGGGGGTCTGGCCTTCAAGAATAGAGATAATAAGGGAAGAAGGGAGACCCCTTAAGCCTGCAAAGAACACCCAATAGACTTGGCCGTTAGGGACATTGAGATTATCTGTTTTCAAATAAAACAAGCACTTATTTATTTATTTATTTTTGTATGCTGCAATATAAAGATGAACTTCATTCAGCCCATGAAAATTTTAGGTTACTTTCAGTAAAGTGCCTAACATATGTCACTGTATAAAAGGACAATCTCTAAGTGGGAACTCAAAGGTACAGATGGAAATAAAACAACTGGCTTTAATAAAAGACACTTTTGACATAAGATGGACCATAGAGTTGAAATAGAAAAAAATTTAAATAGCAAAAATTTAAACAGAAAGATAAGTACTAAAACATATAAATTATACCATCTGCTGTTTCTGAGCTTAATATCACCTCTTTTTACCTCCTCTAAAACTATTCTATTATAAATTTGCTTAGCTGCTCTAAGGTTTGCTACTTCATATTTCACCCTTTGGCTCCAAGTAATTGCATTTTTTTTCTTTGAGAGAAAAGTTAAGGTAAACTTTTCTATCATATATTTAGTATGATTACATGTTTATATTTAGGTACAAAGGTAGTATTACAACTCACAGAAAATTCCTGTTCAGATATATGTTTCCAGGAAAATATGTGGTAAAAATGTCAGCCTTAAGATTGTGGTAAAGTCAAAAGAGATTGTACAAATTGAGTTCAATGATGAATGAGAAATAAAGCATCTTTTTGTAGACTAAGGATGACCTCCACCGTTTTATTAAATAACATTTGTTCAACAATTGCAAACAGTGTCTGTTCCTGCTCATGTCCTTTGGGAATTAACAGTCTAATGAGATTAGTGATGGATGAATTAGCAGCCACAGAAAAGCACTTTAGACTGGCTATTCCTCAGAGTGATTTAGGGTATAGGAATTGTTATAAATTATTGAAAGTATACAAACCACTGAAGCATGTTCATTGTACTAATATATTTCAGTAAAAGGAATAAAATAAGAACATGTCACTTGCTCTGATTGTACGGGCAATGAGCCACCTCCTCATCTGAAACTTAGCTAAGCAATTATATCCACCAGGAAAACAGCTGTGGGGTCTTGATTACCTGGCCACTGGACCTCCTTCTACTATAAATTGGTTCCCCGGTTTATACATCATTGACATGTAAATTTGATTGTGGTGATTTGGTTCTTTAATATGACCATTCAGGTCAAATCAATCAAATCACATCTCTTCACATGCAAATCTGAAGTCCAAGTCCAGAACCCAAATCACTAGGACAGCCAGCCACCTAGAATCTTGCCCCCTAACCTCCTGGCAGCATGGAAGAGGCCAGAAGGCAGAGAAACAAGTAACCTGTCCCTAGATCCCTTGTAACTTGTGTTGAGAAAAGTTAAACTTAAAACCAAGGCAAATATATTTCTTCATATCCTTCTAAGCTGTATTAGAGAATTGTCTAAAAAGCCCTCTCATGGATCATCTGATGTTATAAGGCCACACTAGACAATAACATAGAATGCAAATCATATGTAATTTTTAATTGTCTAGTAGTCATATTTGAAAATATAAAAAGAAACAGGTGAAATTAATTTTAATGATATGTTTTATTTAACTTAATGTACCTAAAATATCACTTCAACATGTAATCAATATTTTAAAAAATGAGATTGTTTACATTCTTTGTCTAATTGGTAAATTTTCAAAATATGGTGTGTTTTTTATACTTGTAGAACATTGTGATTCAGACTAGCCACATCCCAAGTGCTCAATAACTACACAATAGCTACCACAATGGACAGCATAGCTCTAACTAAAAATAACTTTGACTTAATATTTACTTTTCATTGGGCCCACATTATGTAAGTTAGATGTTCATTATAGAAGATTAATAAATTAATAAGACTTTTGTCTAGTAGAGATGCAAATAAATTATTTCCAGTAGAAAAAAATAAACCAGTTATGATTGTATTGCCTAACGGGACATTAAGCAATTTTGTATCTGGTTTTTCAGTCTTCTAGCATTTGCTTTCCCTAAATACATATTTTATTCTCATATATCTTCCTTTGACCTAATTTTTCATCCCTCATTAACAGATTAAATCATATTTTGATTGATACACAAGCTCGCTACATACAGTACTTGTATGCCAGTCATATTTTCACTTTTTGCAAATTATACTTTGATACTTGGTTGGTCAGTTTGTCCTAAGCGTTCTGAATTAGAATCTTTAGAAGCCATTCTGAAAATCAGAAGACACAAAATTTTTGACCATCCACCCTAAAGCAACCTGAGATCTGATAAGTATACCATGGAGTCTCAGATTTTGAAATAAGATTGAATAAGCCTGTGAACAACAAAAACGTCTATTAAAATGATCTCCAAGGGAAAGTTCGGATTAAGGATGTGATCTTCCCACTCCAAATTGATGGCCTCAATTGAAGTGGGAAGACAGCCACCAACAAATTGATGAGACAGTTAATAAATATTGCAATGCAATATATGTATCTTGTATTTGTACACGTCATGACTAGTATAGGTTGGCTAATTTTGTTTCATGCTACACTCTTTAGGCTCTGGAAACCCTAGTGGATAAAGTTAAACATGTAGAGCAGAATGTCAAGTCCAAAAGGCATTAACAAAACTGGAAAGAGGGAGTCTCAAACAGCAAGACACACTCAAAGGAGAGTAAGAGCAGTTGTTGGGACAAGTGTAAGGAACAGGGCTCACAACTGAGTTTTCTTTCGCTCCCTCCACCTACCATGCCAGAGATTTATATCAGTGTTTGGAGGGAGCTAAACTAATCGTAATTAACCCTGTATATGCCCCAACTTTGAATGATTTAAACCTGTTTTTTCCTGACTCATCAATGGATGAGGCTAATAACATCCACCCCCATTGGTAGTGCCTGCCTCAAAGAATGTGAAGTGTCAGTGCTGCTGTCCATATGAGACCAAAAATATATAGGGCAGCCGGAGAAAAACTATACAAGAAGGGACTTCAGGAGATTTGCAGCCTAAATAACATTGTAGGCCCTCCAGTCTGTTGCCTCGCTTGAGCCCCACAAATTATGTTTACAAATAATGCAGAGCAACAGTTTTTTGTTCTTTCTTCAATCTTTGTAGGCAAATGGCCAATAATTAGGACATTAAAACATTAAAACTAAGCCTAAATGTTTTCTCGCCTCAAGGACTGAGACCAAAGTTGCTGCATCTTTGTTCCCTGACATACCCTGATAGAAAACATAGTTGCATATGCATTAGTTTAATATATACAGAGAAAATGTTTCAAAAGGAATAATACATTGCAAAACATATTTACCTAACATTGAAAGTGCCATTAGAATCGTATATGTGATGCAGGAAACTAGGTCATTAATAGCCACCTTATTATTCAAGCTTGCTTTCAAATGACTTTAAACTGTCTCAAACAGTCAAATATACCTTCAAAAAATAAGAATTTGTCAATTATGAGAATATATACATTTTTGCACCTTCCCAGCCTAGGCCTATAATGATAAGCAATTATAAAGCACAAGATACAAATATTTATTAGGCAATAGCCTTGATCAGAATAAGTACATAGTCTCATACGATGACTATTTTGGAGGAAACATGGAAATATAAATTTTAATAAGTTTGTTAATACATATTATTTTTTTATTCCTGGTCCTTCACTATGCTGTTCTTTTCACACACTCACTGAGCACTTGTTAAGCACAGGACACCAGAAGAGAAAATAAAAACAAAGATCAACCAGTGTGTTCTCTTGAGAACTTATGCCTGGTAGGAAGGACACAGACAAGCATAGCTATTACACGGTGTGAAAAATGTGATAGGAAAAACACAGCCACTGAGAGAACCAAAGAATAAGAAAATAAAAATATTAATGTGCTGGTTAAACCTCTGCCTTCAAGTACTTACCAATCCAGTTGGGAAAATAAGATATAAGAGCTCAGAACAGTGGTTCTTAAGCTTTCAGATTTCAGGACTTCCTTAGAGTCCTAAAAATTAGCAGACTGTCCAAAAGTCTTTTGTTAATATAGATTGTATCCATATATATTTACCACTTTGGAAAAATGAAGCTGAACATTAAATGATGTAATAATTTAGAATAATAATTATTTATTTATAATCTTTAAAAATATTATAAAATTAATTATATGTATTTATAATTATATAGAATTTATATA